TTTTTTTTTTTTTTTTTTTTTTTTGCTTTTACTTTTCTTTTTCTTTTTTTGGTATCTGTAAAATTAGAATCATGATTCCTGCCTACTTCAGGCAGTGGCATAGTGCCAGGTCTTTACCAGGCTTGTGATGTGATGAGGTTCTTTACTGCTTTATTTTTCACTTTTTTATACTGATCTATCTTCTTTAACATTTAAGGGGAATAGAAATTCATTTGGAAGGGAGATTTGTATCTCTGTCCCCAAACAGATTTCTCCATTGCTCTTTCTTTCTCTTTAATGTACATAAATTATCTGTTTTTTTTTCTTTTCCTTGTCCTTAGTATCTGTAAAGTTAGTATCATGATTCCTGCCTACTTCAGGCAGCAGCATAGTGCCAGATGTTTGCCAGGCTTGTGACGTGATGAGGTTCTTCACTGCTTTTTTTTCCACTCTTTTTTTATATACTGATCATCTCCCCTAACATTAAAAGAGAAGGGAGACTTGTTGTACCTCTCTCCCTGAGCAGATTTCCCCATTTGTTTCCCATGCTGTTTTGTATAATACAGGTTCTAGTTCTCAAATACAATAAAACTCTCTTTTTAAAGTATAAAAGTTCTGTCTCAGCTTTCTGGATATGTGAAATTTGGTATCATGATTCCTGAAATTTGGTATCATGATTCCTGAAAATTGGTATCATGATTCAAGAAGCGGTGGAGTGTGAAATCTTTACAAAGCTTATAACATGAATAGGTTCTTCACAACTTTTTTTTTTCACTTTTATACTGCTCAAACTCCCTTATTATTAATGGAGAATACAAGCTCACTTCAGTAGGGAGACTTATACCTCTGTCCCTGAATGGATCTTTTTCTGTCTGTCAAACAGAGAAAAGAAAGACCAACTTTATTTTTGGTTGTTTTAAACGATAGTTTTCCTTTCGTATGGAATCATTTTTTTTCACTAAAAAAATCAGTAATACAAAACTTGAACTGCTGCCACCAGAGTACTGTTTGGGAAAGGTATTACCTCTCCAAGTGAATCAGAAAGGCAGATTTACTTTTGCTGTCAGAGTAGACAGACATGTCTGCCTGAATCCTAGCTGCTCTACTCTCTGCATCATTGGGACCTGTTACTAAGTGTGGAATCTTGTGGGAGGATCAAATGGATCTCAGCTTCCCAGCTCTGTCCTCTATTTTTATCAGAAAACAAAAATCATAAAACATTTTCAAAGTATTTCATAGCCTGTGCACCGTACTTGCCAATCCAATATCAATTTGTTACTGTTTATTGTTCAGGAACTGCGAGAGCTGCGAGTGAAATTTCCTTCAAAATAATTATGCGTGGCAGTACTGTGTAACAACTCTATTTTGGGCCTACTCAACACTGCATTGTTCTGCCAGCAACATTTTGACTAAGTCAATGCTCAAAACTCCTCTAAGTCAATGCTCAAAACTCCTCTTAGGCTTCAGAACCCACCCCCTTTTCAGGAAAAGTTATATTACCTCTCCTGAGCAAAGGAAGACATCTGCCATTCTTTGACTGTGCAGATGCTGCCCTGCCTCCTGCCATGGTCTTTTCTGTAGCTATTTATGCATACGCTTTATGCTCTGTTGTCATAGATGCTCCATTGTAACATGTATGGAGGTGCTAGAAGTACATGGTTGTCATCAAGCAGCAGAACTAGATAAGCGTAGACAAGCCCTTCTAAGTTTCCTGATCTGTGGAAATTTGGAAGTCTTCTATACTTGTACATCTTGATTAGAGAATGGACTACTGTATGACAGCTGGCCTCAGCAGCAAAGGAAACAATGCCTAACTAGAGCAGGTAGCTGCAGCACAAAGTAAACAAAAGATGCAGCCCTAGTGTTTACCTGTTGTTAGCTTGACCCCCTAAACAGACAGGAAAGAGGAAGATGAACTGCGAGAGGAGTAGGAGGAGGAAACAGGTGTACATAGGCAGTGCATGCAGGTGGTGAAGACAAACAAAATTACTCAAGTAGGGCACAGATACCGATGAAGAGCCTTTTCTTAGAATCTGACATCCTTTCCTATGAAAACTTTTCTTCTAGCTTTGGTTTTTGGATAACATTTGCCAAGACCCTTTATTAAATCCTGGAGGAATGTTGCAGCAACCTGTTTCCTGACCTGGGATGACTGGGAGTAGGTTGGATATAATTTGCTTATTTTGTTGTGGTGTTTGCCTTGTACGTTCACTTTTTTTCTCTATGATTTCTATGATTTTTGCTTGAGAGAGGATGACAGATAAAGACATAAATTGCACTTAGTGGCATGGCAATACAATAAATTGTAACATATTACTTTTTAAGTTTGTCAGCCCAAAATAAGGCATTAAATTCATAAGGGAGGTGGCCTGATCGTAGCTCTTGTCATTTTCATGACATCTCTGGATGCTGTATGGAAAATCTAAAATAACATACATATCCCACTTCAGACCTTTGTGTTTTGGAAATGTACTTCTTTACAGGAAATATGTCTTATTCATTCTCTTGACACATGTTGTCACCTCAAAAAAATGGCTATGAAGATATATATGGAATCTAATGTAAAGGGAAGAAGGCTGTAGCAAAGGATGTGAAGCAAGAACTCCTGAGTTTTCAAAGTGTCTCTGCTGTGCCCTTTTGTGGCTCAGTGCTTGACTATTATGGGGAAAGTACTATTAGTAACTCTCATCAGTTCAAATTCACTCTGACAGTATAGGCCAAAAAACACCCATCCAGCTTAGTTGAGCTGTGAGCTATAGTTGTTCTGAATGTTTTTCTTGGTCTTAAAACACCCTGATTCCCATTCCTTTTGGCCCTGACTTGCAGAGAAAATATAATAGTGATAAAAGCAATTTTGATTTGAAATTCTGGAGTCTTTTTAAATATGTGGAGGGGGGAAGGGTTTTTCCTCTTAAGCATTATCTGTACTAGAAATGTTAAATGTTCTTCTGCAGTAACTTCACTGGTGGGATATTATGGCTAAGAAGTTTTAGTGCCAATACTTTCTTATACTCTTCTACCACCCATTCAACTTTTTAGCCTTTTTATCTTAGGCTTCTTTCTTGTGTGTTTTCTATCCATTCTCAGCCCCCCATCTTTGTCTGTCCCTTTCCTTTTTTTCTCAGTGCCTCTTCAATTTTACCTTGCCACACTAAGGCTGTATGCTCATTTCTACTGAAAGAAATTTCTTCTGGTAGAAAAATAGCTCAGGAGCTGGACTGTACAGAGATTCTTCCAGCCCCATGGCTAGAGAGCTGCATGGGTGAGCTCTTCCACCAGGGGGCACTAGAGGGTTACTCCCTGGGCCACTCTTGCCCTCAAGGGTGCCCATTAATTGACGGCCTGTCTTCTTCCATGCCTGGGAGAGGAGCAAGCTATCAAGTGGCAGTGAGCAGCTACTGAAAAGTTATGTGGTGGGAGGAAACAGCTGCTGTGGCAAGGCGCTGGGAACCCTGCAGCAGGGGCGTGGAGCCTGCCTTGCCCAGTGCTGCTCCAGGCTGACCCAAAGCAATGCAGAGCAAAGTGGGGGCTTTTTGCTGTGGTGGGCCAGTGAGTTAAAGGCTGGAGGCCCAGAGTGAGGCTCGAGGAAAGCCTCCACAACCTGGCTCCTGACTCCTTGCTCCTGGCTCCCCTTTGCTGCCCGACAGCCCAGGTGGGCAAGGGAGAGCTGGATCAGGGGACACTTTCTCAGAGCTCTGCTCTCAGCCACTGGCTTTTAAATCATCTGGGCAGCCAGGCTTGGAAGGGGAAGCCGGCAGGAGCCAGCAAACCCCGCCCCATCTCTTCCTGAAAATAGGGACTGCCTGGTTTGAAGGAGTGGTAGCTGCTGCTCCCTTCACCTCCCAGTTTTCCAGGGTGAGTGGGGACTGTATAAATGTTCGGTCTTCCAAGAGAAACTCACCTAGGAGCAATTTAATTCTGGTTGTTCCCGGGTTATTTTTCTCCTACAGTGGCCATTTTTGCTCTGGGAGAAAAAGCCTGAATGTCTGAGTGCTTTTGGTTTCTACTGGAAGAACAAAGATTCTCTTGTTCAAAAATGAATGCCTGTAAGTGGCTTAACATTTTTTTTTCTTTTGTGGTTAGGGCTGGAATAGTGATTAGAGCAAACTACTGCCTAACCCCCTGATATGGTTTCTACCCTAAACTGAAGCTGGCCCTACCCTAAGAGCCCCAGATCCACATACACTTTCTACTTATTGGTCATCCATCAAAAAGTCATTCTCACTATAAACCCAGATGACCCTGAAAA